GCATTGTGTGAGAGAGAGAGGGAGACAGAGACAGAGACAGTGTGAGAGAGAGAGAGAGAGAGACAGAGACAGAGAGAGAGACAGAACCAGTGTGTGAGAGAGAGAGAGAGAGAGGAGTTACACAGACACTGGGCAGGTTAGGATCTGTTTCTGCAAGAACCAACAATGATTGCGTAGTAAAGTGGCCTCTGTGTGTGTGTTACAGGGCTGATCTGGGCGACACAGGGAAGCACCCAGAACCCAAGAGTATTTTTGACTTTGAGCCTGGAAAGGGAGCAGAAGAGGATCGTAGTCGGGTAAGCTGTCATTAACCATCACCTCTCCATGCAGTTTAACTAGAAATATTGTCGCAAAAAGACTGATGGGGTTTGTGTATTGTAGTATAAAGCTGAGCATCCAGATGGCATGTTGTTACAATTCTAAAAAAACTTTTTTTTTTTTTGATTGCCACTAGTTGTCTAAAGCATTATTGTGTCTGTTGAAAGCCTTTTTGTTACTGTCTATTGGCATTTTGTAAGTGGGTTAGACTGAACACTAGAAAGTGGTGGGAAATCAGTAGAGTGCAATGCAACCCTAACTTTTACTAATGCTTATACTTAGGTCAGGGTTCATGCAAGGTGCTTTAATTTGGATTTTTGAAATCAAACTTCTGCCTTTTTTGAAATGAACGATTGAGTGATGAGAAGATGCTGGGAAAAGTAGTTGCGCCCGTCCTGCTGGCCAGAATCTGAGGGAGGAGATGATGACAGCTTCCCTATAGGCTTTAAAGCATATAAAGACACATCAGTGAGATGTTTCATACTTTTATTCAATGAAAGAATAATGCCTTTATCTTAATACATAAAATATAATGCTTTAATAATTTCATCGGGCACAAATAACTATAAAACACAGTGTTAATACTGATATTTCAGTATATTCCTTACAATGCATAAACATAATAAAATGTAAACATTGAACCCAATTCAAATGTGCAAATTAAAACACTTTTTATGTGAGGATAATATATCACTAGGTACAGTGGGGTGTGATTACTTCTCTCAGAATAAATGTTGTACCTTCAGGGGTAAAGCAACTTGTCATTGGAGCATTACCCTTAAAGGGACATCTCTGTTTCTTTAGCACCTTTAAGGTACATATTACATATTCTAAGGTGCATATTTGTGTTTGTGCACATTCGTATGTTAATTAATGAGAATTGTGATGAGAAAAGCTTGTGTACGCGTAGCAGTTATAGTCATCATCACTCGATTTTGTCGAGATTCTGAGAAACTGGCTCGACTTGACACTCTTCTCAAATCCCGAAAATGTTCTTCCATCTGTCTGTCTAAAAATCAGAGCTTTAAAACTACAAGACATGTTAAGCTTTATGTTCTTTTCAAATATATACATTTGAAATGAATATTCAGACTGCACTTAATATTAGTTAACATAAATTCTCAGACAATTCTCAGATTAAGATGTTTGTCAGGACCCCTGGTTGTTTATGACTGACTTCATGTTTGGCTCAGTGTGAATACGAGAATAAAAGAATCTATTGTTTTATCTCCAGTTGTGGAGCTGTGCGAAGGAAGGCAGTCTTGTGATATGTATTAAACCTGTTAACCGCTTGAGTGATTTAACAGCACCGTAGTTTGTAGAGTTGTCTATAGCTGTTTCTACTTTCGTTCTGTTTTCCCTTAATGTGACAGCTGTCATCTCCATTTCATTCACTAAAGACAGCCTTATTTTGTTAACATATTGGAAAGAAGACATCACTTATCTTGTCTTAGTTAGTTAACGGTTCTGGATATCTGACTTGGCTTCAATAAGATTATTAGCTGCCAAGATATGTGAGAGTGAGGAGCTTTTCACATGATACTACCGGTCTGGATCGCTTGTAAAATAGCAAATAGTTGAAGTCTGCTCTTTACCTAACAATTAAATGAGGCCAAACACATCAGGTTTATAGTTACATAGGCTCCTAAGTTGGTTATGAAATGGTGTTCAGTTCTTACCTGTATCTTGTAATTGTAGGTCTTAAAAATAAAGTGTTATTTTAATATCACTAAGTGCGTTTACATGCACATTCATAAAATGATTATGCTTAATAAGCTGACAACGAGTGTGGTCATGTAAACGCATTAAACCGTTTTCCTTTATTTGCCTATGGTCATAATCAGCTTATGCCTAAACCAGTCGACACAGCTAGATTTCTGCCCATTACCCTGATTTTGCCCAGCATGTAAACACCTTAACCTGCGATATATATCACCTTTTTGAAGTGTGCTTGTGTGATATGTGACGGGAAAGCTTTAAGCGCATCCAGCCACAGCGGCAGGCAAGGAGGAAATAAATCCTAATTTCTGACTTTGTGTCAACCCAAGAAATGACACAAAATGTGTTCTCATTTCATGTAGCTGAAATGTTACAGTATTAGAAACCTCAAATATTAGAGGAGAATGAGTCTGTGCTAGACTTTTTGAAATATTCTGGGCTTTTTAATGATTTATTTAACATCACAACCCACATAATAAATAGAATTCTCCATGGAGAATACATGGGTTCTTACTGTATGTTTTCATGTTACCACCAGGAAATAACCTGATTTTTAATACAGTTTTATAAACCCAGTTTACATGCATTGCCAGATTATTGATTTGCACGTAAAGCAGTAAATTGGGTTATTTTAATAAACTGATTTTTGGTAGTTATCAGTATATTAGGGATGGGCATCTCCATAACTGAGGCCGATGCGATATCTTGATGCATAGCCAACATTACGATACATTAAAGATACAAATGAAGTAGCTACCAATGCGATGTGATACGATTCATCTCTATTACGATGCAGTGCGATCCGATTTTTGATTGAGAAACAGTTTAGATAGGAGAAATCAATCTACATATAAAATATTGGTCACAAAATAATAAATAATAAAAGTGTAGCGCATCTACTAATAATTATATCTAAATAATCGTGAATATATGTTAGAAACGATGCATCGCGATACTAATGCTAACATCCGATGCACACTTTAAAAAAAAACTTTTATGCCGATGCACCGGTACGAATTGGTGAATCTTACCATCCTATACAGTGTATTGGTGTGCATGTAAACATGCTTATTGAGATAGTATTATTATTATTATTAATATTTTGAATTAGTATTTATTTTTATATTTTTCATTTTAATTTTAGTTTTAGTAATATTGTTGTTAGCTTTTTAAAAATATGTTTGTATAGTTTGTGTTAATTTTTATTTCAGTTTTAGTTTATTTTAGTACATCAAGTTGAACTAAATGAGAACGACAAATATTCCCTTGAAAGCTAGCTCAAATACAATATGGTTTTGAATGTGTCTAATGATATTGTACTATTGTTGTTTTTCAGTCTCTGAGGTCTGAGTCACAGCTGCCTTCATATTACAGCCCAGTGAAACCTCAATCCCAGTCTCCGTCCATAGAGGTGAGTGTCTGACATACTTCTGCACATCTCACTTTCTGACAATCTGTATGTTTCTTAATTCAGAATTCTGGATTTTTCTTTTTTAAATAATTGCAATAGCCTACTATTAAAAGTGCATTTGTTACAGTGTGTACAATCTGATTAAAAGTCTATGTTCTGGTTAAGCCTTCAGTCTGAAGAAGATATTTTCATGCTGTTGTAATGTAATCAGCATAATCTGAATAAATGAAGGCAGATTCTTTTCCCGCTCTTCTCTTCTGCAAATACTGGACACGCTCTCTATCATAATTTATTATGCTGTGTTTTAGGAATTTCCAAATGTTTTGTGATCTTCACACTGTCAAAGTTTTATTTACATGAAATTGCATGAAGTCCCAGATTGCATTTGGACATGTGAAACCCCACCAACACATAATGTGCTATGTGTCACCTGGCTGTCATGCTGTTGTGCAGGCGACGCTGGTGTCAGAGCTGAACCGTTTTGAGGCGGAGCTGGACTCAGACATTCGTGGTCTGGAGAGGAAACTGTCACAGAAGCAGCAGCAGCGGCGAGGCAGGGGTGAGGTACTGACCCTCCCATCGACACATCACACTCACAGTTAAATCCTCTATCACGCACCTCCCTGAAACCAGACTTTATTTGTCTATGATCTCCTACTGCACATCTGTGTCTAGTTCAGTTCATATAATGATATGCTATGCATACACTACCATTCAAAAGTTTGGGGTTAAAGTTGAATGTTTTTGAAAGTCTCATGTTCACCAAGGCTGCATTAATTTGATAAAAAAATACAGTAAAAAGAGTAATATTGTGAAATATTAATTGCATTTAAAATAACTTGTCAATTTTAATATATTTCAATTAAATTATATTTTATATATTTTTAAATTCATATTTTAAATAACTAAACTGTTTCGCAAGTCTTCCTGTCGTTCAAATTGGACTCCCAGTTTAATTGATCGTGATTTGTGGCCTGTTCATTTCAGACACACACTCAGAATACTTTAGTTCTGAATTTTGCCCTCCAGACTTTATTTGTCTATGATCTCCTACTGCACATCTGTGTCTAGTTCAGTTCATATAATGATATGCTATGCATACACTACCATTCAAAAGTTTGGGGTTAAAGTTGAATGTTTTTGAAAGTCTCATGTTCACCAAGGCTGCATTAATTTGATAAAAAAAATACAGTAAAAAGAGTAATATTGTGAAATATTAATTACATTTAAAATAACTTGTCAATTTTAATATATTTCAATTAAATTATATTTTATATATTTTTAAATTTATATTTTAAATAACTAAACTGTTTCGCAAGTCTTCCTGTCGTTCAAATTGGACTCCCAGTTTAATTTATTGTGATTTGTGGCCTGTTCATTTCAGACACACACTCAGAATACTTTAGTTCTGAATTTTACCCAGCAAATACTAAACAAATACCTTCTTCAAAGTTTTAGAGAGTAAGGGTCACAGAAAAACAGAGACACGGCAGTTAGATAAGACAGAGTTCTGTGAAGTTGTATTTGGCGTACTGTATCAGTCGCTCTAAATGGCTTTTAAATCTTTTGGACTTATAGCTAGACTTTAGTCATCCATTATGGCCTCACTGATTTCTTTAAAATTTCCACACCCTTCAGACAAGGTATTAGTTTTAAGCTCTCTCTTGTTGTGCCCAAAAAAGTCAAAGAGTTTTTCTGCGTTTCTGGCCACCGCTGTTATGTTATCTTCCTGTCAGTGTGCTTCAGGTTGCTGGATGTTGGCTCTGATCTGACAGCTGTGCATGCTGATCCTCTCTGTCACTTCCTGTCATGCCCAACAGCCGCCCACTGCTGAGCTTTCGTTTGAGTCACGCCAACCTGCGCAGTGTCTGCTCTTTATATCCCAGCTCTGTTTATTTGATCCTTTTCTTGCCATGTCTCTCTTTTTGTGATTCTTAAAGGGGCAGTTCACCCAAAAATGATCAGTTGCCCTTCATTTCTTTCCAAATACCAAGGCAAATACCAATACCAAATATAATTTGATCAAAAATACAGTAAAAACAGTTACAAAAAAATACAGTAATAACAGTTTTCTGTTTTAATGTATTTTAAAATGTAATTTATTCCTGTGTTGGCAAAGCTGTATTTTCAGCATCATTACTCCAGTCTTCAGTGTCACATGATCCTTCAGAAATCATTCTAATATGCTGATTTGCTGCTCAAGAAACATTTCTTAATATATTTATCAATTTTCTTTAATCAATTTAAATTCATTCATTCATTCATTCATTCATTGCTTAATTAAAAGTTCAAAGAACAGCATTTATTTGGAATAGAAATCTTTTGTAATATTATGCCTTTACTGTCACTTTTGACTGATTTAATGCATCCTTTCTGAGTAAAAGTATTAATTTCTTTCTCAGCTCAGTATTAATTTCAAATCTTAGTTTTGCCATCATTGGAATAAATTACATTTAAAATATATTTAAATAGAAAATAGTTATTTTAATAATGTAAATAATATATATGTTCTATTTATTGTAATAATAATTTTAATATTTTAATAATTGTAATAATATATAACAATATTTTTGTTTTTACTTTAATCAAATAGATGCAGCCATGGTGAGCATATGAGACTTCTTAAAAAAATAATTTCAAACTTCAATTTTTATTTCAAACTTTCAAATCTTATTTCAAGCTTTCATTTGTATTTTTCTTTGAATACAAAATAAGTTCTTGTTGCTCTATTCAATACAATAGAAATGAAAGGACACTAATTCAGTCACAGCTCAAAAATTAACCAAAAAATCCCCACCTATTTTATGTGAAAAACAGACTCATATTTATGATTCATGTTCACATATTTAAAGGCAGAGTAAGTGATTTCTGGTAGAACAATGTTGATATTTGAAATCACCAAAACAAACACGCCCCTACCCCAAAAGGGTCCCTCGGCGTCCGATCGTAGGCCTCCGCTCCTTGAGTTCTCTCCAGCGCTGGAAAGCTGATCCAATATTTACACGGGTCCTACTTCTTTGCCTTATCGTTCCGCAGACGTTTTCCTCTTTTGTTTTTTTATCTGCCATCTCTATCTTTCTGTCGCTCGGCTCGGCTAATGTCCGTCCCATGCACTGAAAGCTCTCTCCTCCACATCACGAGTAGACACGCCCCTTATTGCTGATTGGCTACAAGTTTGTTTTGCTATTCGGCCCGAATCAGTTTTCTAAAGTGTTTTTGAAAAATCACATACCCTGCCTTTAAATTGCGATTCACTTAAAATCGAACTATTCCTTTAATCTAAAATTAGCTTTTGGCTCAATGAATACTGCACCTTTAATTGTTTAAGGCTTTATGGCTCTCCCTGTTCTTGTGAATTATAAACTGTGGAAATCTTAGCTGATTACATCAGCAGTTCCATCTGATTCACATTTATAATGCGAGCAGAATGAATGGAGTGTAGGACCCAGGGGAGCCGTGCAGCTCTCAGTGCAGGAACGGTCACCGCCTCGTGAGATTGCCTTCGAGCTGCTCCCAAATGCTCCTGTTTAACTGCGTCTTTGAGAGAGTTCATGTGTGTTAGAGCTGAATGAAATTGTGATTTGTATTTACAGGGAGCTAAAACCAACACAGCAACCACAAGAACAGAAGAGAACAGACAAGAAAACAGGTAAGCCTTAGACTTTACTTAATTATACTTTGGAAACAACTATGTCCCTAGAAGTTAGCCAAAAATGACAAACCTTAATAAACATACTTTTTTAAAAATTATTAAAAAAAAAATAAAAATGCACTTTTGGGGTCAGTCTTAATCTAAAGCTAAATTAATTTAATTAATTGTATATATGTTATGCAGTTATGAATGGCTTTTATGTAATTTGGATAGAAGTTAATGTTAGAAGTTATACTTCCTTTATATGAAGCAGGTGGGGTAAAGTAGTTTCGCAGTGTGTTTTGCAGTAATAACATCTAATAATGAATCAGTGTAATTAATGATGATGAAATGTGACACATGCAGTAGATTCTCTGTTGTTTTCGCTGTCTTATTAAGGTCATATGACATGCCCGGCCTGTCTCCTCATCTGATTGGTTAATTGTTGACTCTTTGGCCGGCAGCCCACATACCCGACCCCATGCTGAGCTCTTTGTGTGCCTGTACATGTGTTTGTGTATTTGTCAGAGTGTGTGTGTGTTTATGTCTAAGTGTGTGTGGTCTAATTGAGGATGTCTCCGTCTTTACTCACATGCTTGACCTCGTTCATCTTGTTAATAAAGAGGTACAGTATTGGTTCAGTTCTCAGACTGTATTCGACACACTTTGGATGTGTGTGTGTCCGCAGTTTTCTGCCTGCATCGCTGCTCCTCAAGCAGTTATCCCTCTCTTTATGTGCAGAGCTATAAAAGGCAAAGTTTGGTCCTTCCAGGCCTGTACTTCAGACGTTAATGCCCAAACTGACACCTTTAGCTTCAGTATTTGCTCGCCAGGGGCCCGTATCTCACTGGATCTGACACATTCTTGAGTTCTCGCTCTGTTTTTCTGTGACATGTTGATGCTTTTTGCCCCCTTCAGCCCCCCGCTGACTATCTCCCCACCCTCCAAATGCCATAAATGCCCCTGCTGCTACAAAAAGGATACAGAGTGAGGACAGTTTTATAGCTTCTCTCTTTCTGGAACGATTAATAACCCTGAGGCTGAAAACCTGTTAACACAGTAACTGCTTGTTGGGTTCAAGAATCGGTATGCTGCCATTTTATCAGCATGATATTTGATATAACACACATTGCAGTTTTTACAATAATATGTATAAATATTGTTAAAATAAGGCACTTTTACTCAAGCAAAATTATGATGTTTAGGCTTAAAACAAAGAAGAACTTGTGGGATAGAAAAAAAGATATTTTAAGTATACAGTATTATCTTGTGCAGTATTATGTTTTAAAGATGTTTAGTGCAGCAGAATCCTCCACCATTAGTTAAATCTCTCAGGTCTGTCACATATTCATAAATATTCTCATTTCGATCCTCGTGACCATCTGTTGTGTTTTATGGAATTCTTCCTGTCTTCCTTGAGTCTCACATGTAACCCAGGGTTATTTTTTCAAAGCTCAGGAGACGGAGATCTCTGTTGTTCATGTGTGTATCAGCATTGTAATTATTTACAGTATTTATTTGTGTATTAGTTGAATGTAAAATGAATGGTCTGTTTAAGCTCATGTTCAATCTAATTGCATATTTTGGTGTCTTGGTTGTGCACAGACATTGTTGAGATCTCCTCTGAAGCTCTATAGGAGACACATGCGAGCTTATTGGAGTTTTTGTGGGAGAAAAACCTAAGAATTTGTCCATTCATTCACTAAATCTCATTGATTTTTAGGAAAATTATAAGATCTTATTTGAAGAATAATAATGTCTTGTTTGTTATTTTTCTTCCTTATTGGAAACTAATACCGGTCATTTTGAGGAGTCATGTTAAGGGGCGCTTACACAAATTTGTTTTCAACTAAAAATGTAAAATTTTTATGTGTTTTGGCTGTTCATTTATATGACAACAGCATTTTGGGGGCCTGAAAACAAACTTTTGAAAACAGGTTTCAAAGTGCAAGTTTTTGAAAACGCTATCTTTATCGTCTCCGTGTAAACTACAAAAACGTGAAAGCATATCATAAGTTATGAACTTTACCCTTGCTGTTTTTTTACTTCAGTGTTCTGCATCTACAGTATTTGGGCTAGATTTGTCACATGATAATTTTGTTTTTCTTTTCCAGCTATCCCATAATCCCCTGCTCTGCAGTAAAGCAGGGCACAACAGCGAACTTCATGCATGCTGATGGTAAAATATAGTCATCTTCCTATCCCCTCCTCGCCTGTGTTTCCTGTTTCCTTGTACTTTTTGCCACTCTTCTCCTCTCCTCTCATTCCCTCCAATTAATACAAAGTAAACACATTTCTGTGAAATGAGAAAAACAAATGAAGTCAATCACTGTTCAGCAGGACAGGAAGTGTGTAACAAGCAGCAGGATGGAGGTCTTGATTGCAGATTAGATTTATCCAGTTGTTTTTCCTGGAGATAAATTGAGAAAGACTCTGCCATTGCAAAAAAAATAACGTGTGCAGAGCTGGAGGCCCGATGAACCAGTATTGAGCCAAAAACAACAACAACAACAAAAGATACAACAGAAATTAATTTGATTAATTCTCCAAATTCCCTCAATAATATATGCTACCATTCAAAAGTTTGTGGTTGGTAAGATTTTATTTTAAAAAGGCTGCATTTATTTGTTCAAATATATAGTAAAAATAGTATAATATTGTGAAATATTATCGCAAATATATATGTGGATATATTTTAAAATGTAATTTATTCCTGTGATTCAAAACTGAATTTTCAGCATCATTACTCCAGACTTCAGAGTCACATGATTCTTCAGAGATCATTCTAATATGCTGATTTGCTGCTTAATATTTTATACATTAATAAATTTGAGATAATTTTTTTTTCAGGATTATTTGATAAACAGAAAGCTAATAAAGAAAAACATTTATTTGAAATTGAAATATTTTGTAGCTTTATAAATGTCTTTACAGTTACATTTGATCAATTAAATGCATCCCTGCTGAATAAAAATACTAATTTCTTAAAAAAAAAAATCTTACTGACTCCAAACTGTTGTGACTTAACATGCTTTGAAATATTCGTGAAAAGAATCGCCTAAAATAACAAATGACCAGAAATAGCAATTTCAGATCTTTTTATTACAAATGACATCAACTGACATAGAACATCAACTGATCAAAGACAGGCTATAAACCCCTCATTAAAACCTCTCAAATATGTGGATTGTGTAACAACATAAGACAGTAAAGTATCCAGCTACAAAAATAGCTTTAAAACCAGTGTGCACAGAAACCCTAGTTTAATTTTCAGCAGTCAAGATAACCAAGAGATCCTTCACATGATCACCACATCCTTCACCCTTTTACGCCAAAAGTGCTTAAAGTTGAATAAACACCCAATAATTGCAAGCTAGCAATAGACACAATTCTGCTTTTGATTTTGATATATTATGGGCCGATATCTCATTTCTGGTCTACACTTTCCTCTACAGATCGCATAATGTCATCAGACATGGATTTCCCACCTAAGAAAGAAGAGAGAAAGGTACAGTATTTGATCATTTTTCTCTGCTCTGAGGTTTGAATGGAAAGTAAATATTTGAAAGAAAGCATGTTTGTTTACACAGATGAAAGCAGCGCGAACCAAATTTAATTTCCAAGCACAGTCACCAAAGTAAGTCGAAACAAAAGACACAACACAGATTTCATTATTCCTAATTATTTGCAGAATTGGGACCAGTATATGAAGGATTTGGGAAAATCTGATACAACACAAAAAGCATTGCAAATGTATGGAAGCCTGTTTCCTCCACTGAATAAAAAATAAAAAAGGGTAACTGTGACTTCGGTAACACTTTATTTCGATAGTCCACTTTAGACATTCTATTAACAGTAAGTAACTTTGCAACTACATGTCAACTAGCAGTTAGTAGAGTATTAGTAGACTGTCTGCTTAATATCTTCTAACACTTTCTTTGTGAACGTTCTACTAACCCTAAACCTACCCTAACAGTCTACTCTGAGAGTTAGTAGACATGTAGTTGCAAATTAATGAGAATTAGTTGACATGTAGTTGACATGTAGTTACAAAGTTACTTATAGTTAGTAGAATGTCTAAAGTGGACTATCGAAATAAAGTGTAACCGTGACTTCTTATCTCACAATTCTGACTTTTTTTCTCAGAATTGCGAGTTACAGTATAAAATCAGAATTGTGTGATGTAAACTTATAGTTGTAAGAAAATAGTTTTTTTTCCCCCTCAGAATTGGACTTTAGATATAACTCCCAATTGCGAGTTTATATTTCACAATTCAGAGAAAAGAAGTGAGAATTGCGAGAAAAAAGTCAGAATTGTAAAATATAAACTTGCAACTGCAAGAAAAGTCAGAATAGCGAGTTTTTATCTTGCAATTCTGACTTTATAACTGGCAATTGCGAGTTTATATCACGCAATTCTGAGAAAAAAAGCCAGAATTGAGTTTATATCTCACAATTTTGACTTTATTATTCACAATTGCAAGTTTATATCTTGTAATTCTGACTTTATAAAAAGTCTGAATTATGAGATAAAAAGTTGCACTTACCTTGTTTTATTTTTTTATTCAGTGGTGGAAACAAGCTTCCATATTAATACCACTGCAATAAAATAAAAATTATTATTATTATTATTTTTAAACCTCTCATCCATAGGGAGCTGACCTTACAAAAAGGTGATGTAGTGTACATACACCGGCAAGTGGATGCCAACTGGTATGAAGGAGAGCATCATGGGAGAGTGGGGATCTTTCCCACCAGTTATGTGGAGGTATGCCCATATGTATGCAAATGAAACACTTCACACCATCTTCTTTTCATTTACACTCATTCCTATGTTTTCTTTTCAGATTATTCCTCCAACAGAGAAGCCCACGCCAATAAAGTCTCCCACCATCCAGGTGCTGGAGTACGGAGAGGCTGTAGCCCTGTTCAACTTCAATGCAGACCTGCCTGTGGAACTGTCCTTCAGAAAGGTACCATATACACTGCACTTCTGCAACATATACTACAACAAATCGATTATGTACAGTTGATTTTCATAAAATATTACATTCCAGACTAATTTTCTTGATTCTTAATTGAGCTGAGGTGGAAACCTCTTTAATTTGTGGCTGGTTTGAAATGAATATACTTCTTTTATGGACTTAAATGGTGTGCTTGTGTTCACGGTTTGACGGATTGCACTGATCAGTTAAGTAAAGGCCTTTTTCGTTTTTCGCTTAGGGGGTAAAAAGAAGTTCGAAATTCCTTAGCAGCGGTTTTACTGTTAGTGAACATCCCTGAGAGCGGCATTTAGATGAATATGTAAATATGTGCTGCATGCTTTCTTCACAGTAACAATATAAACACACAACAAAAATGACAGCAGTGAGAAAACAGCAGTGTTCAGTGTTCATATTCTCACTCTCGGATCTCTGACCTCGACGGACAGAACAGAAAAAAAGAACCGGAGGCCCAGAGCCACACCTACTATGTACCGATTACATAATCATCACTGACTGACCAATGGTAGTTTGAAGGTGTTTACTAGTTGGGGCAAACTTTTCCAGAAAGTTTGACTTTGACAAGCTTTTGGTGCTCTTATCGTGCTTCGATCGTGATCAATTCGGCATTTATTTCAAATTATCTGTGCTTGAAAATAATCACAGGACACCACCTGCTGGAGAAATGATAGAGTCACAGAGTCACCAAATCAATTAGGCAATGAATGAATCTAAGTGAGTCTTTCAATCTAAAGTATTCCAAGTCACTGAAATAAATCAAAACCCCCATTGCTAGATGTTAAAAGAATAGTTTGTCCAAAATTACTGTCATCATATATTCACCCTTATGTCATTGCAAAGTTTATGCTGTTTTTCTGGTTACATTCAGGTTACATGGACTTTCAGTATAAATACTACATTAAAAACAGAATTAAATTAAAATAAGACAATACAACTAAAAAAATCGAGATATTATTTAAATTCACCCCCCTCAAGAAAAGCTTTTTTGAAGTATTCCCCCAGTCTTAAAAAACCCTGCATATGAAATAGCCTAATTTTAAAAGTGTGATTTCTAGACCTAGAAAAGTTATTTAGATGAATAAAACCATATTATATATAAATCTTAGTGTATAAAATGTTATATTCTTAAAGGGGCCATGAACTGAGAAACCAAAAGAAACCATATTATATATAAATCTTAGTGTATAAAATGTTATATTCTCAAAGGGGCCATGAACTGAGAAACCAAAAGTCCCTTGATCTTTTGACATAAGTGGTCATTGTACTATAAAAAAACATCCTGTAAGTTTCAGAACTCAAAACTTTCTGGTTAGTCTGAAAACAGATTATATTGTAGGCAGTCTGCCAAAACAACAGCTTGTGGAATGTTCTACTCTATGATGTAATAGTGCGGATAAACACAGCCTTCGCAGAAAAAGATCAACGCCTGCTTCGACATCACTGCCTGTTTAGCCCCGCCCACCAATTCTACATCACTGCCTGTTTAGCCCCGCCCACCGATTCGCGCATGTAGTGTTTACGAGAGAGATGAACGCAGGTCCACTCAGAAACCAAATCATAAAGATGCTCTGAAAACAACAAGACGCTGTGCAGTGCCAAGTTGTGGAAAAACAGTGTTTACGTTGCCTTCCTTCTGATCCCAACGTTAGGAAAGAGTAAACTTTATTTTTAATGAAGATCCAGACTGCGTCAGTAAGAACTTAGTCCTTTGTTCACTTCAATTTACCGCGGATTCATTTACAAACAAGGCATAATCAAAGCCTTGTTTAATAAAATAATAAAAAGACGATGCTGTGCCAACTATATTGGATCCGACAGTAATGTCGCAACACACAAGTGCAAGTAACTGTTTTTATTACGTGATCACTATTGCTTTGTCTGTTAAAAAAATCGTTTGATATGTTCTGAGTATTTATGCGTTAACAGCGTCCATTTGTGAAGGACGTAGACTGTGAAACATACATAACTATTAGCCAATCATAGCAGTGGGCGTATACTTCAGAGTCTACGATCCGCCACGCCTATTCAAACAGAGCGTTCTGATGAGGGGGGTTAAAAACAGGACAGAAAATAGCCTATTACTTCAAAATTATGATGTTATTTAATGTAGCAATCTTGATAACATTATAAGTAGACCTTAGAGAACAGAACAAATTAAAACATAGCAGTGGGCGTATACTTCAGAGTCTACGATCCGCCACGCCTATTCAAACAGAGCGTTCTGATGAGGGGGGTTAAAAACAGGACAGAAAATAGCCTATTACTTCAAAATTATGATGTTTTTTAATGTAGCAATCTTGATAACATTATAAGTAGACCTTAGAGAACAGAACAAATTAAAACAGGCAGTTCATGACCCCTTTAAATCCTTATTCTTAATTCTTGTCGAGTAAATCATGAACCACTTGAAAAAGTCATGGGGCCTTCGAATATTGTTGTAGACAGTAGGGGGCCTTAGAGTCATTAAGGTTGAAAACCGCTGCTTTAAGGCTTGAGTTTGGTAATTAGGGCAATGCTCAGACATGTAAATAAACTTTTTGGAATCAGCTCTCAGCCCTAACTAGTACAAATATGTAGGATAATGGTTGCCTGGAACAATTACAGACAATTACTGCAAATTTTACAGCTTAACATCATTATACACAAATATTCGACCACGGAATGCTGCGATTGACCAATCAGAAGCAAGTATTCCAGAGAACCGTGGTATTTGCCACCAAACAGCTTTCTTCTGTCGTCTCTGTCTCAGGGCGAGGTGATCTCTATCACCAGGCGTGTTGATGATCACTGGCTGGAGGGGCGTATCGCCGGCACCAGCCGCAGTGGAATCTTCCCCATCAACTACGTCCAGGTCAACAAAATGCCCCGCACTAAAAGCAGCGATGACTTTCCATCTTCTCCCACTCTTACCCCAGAGCCGCTCAGCCCTGGTCGACCACAGCACTCCCCTCTGTCTCCCTTGTCACGCTCCTCCGAACCCCAGCTTTCACCTCACAAACACTCCAGCCAATCACGCTCCCCTCTGTCACACGCACAGCCCACCTCCCCAAAACAGCCTTCAAACCACTTCCTGTTCTCGCCCACAAACAACCGGACCAGATCGCTGCACGCTCACAGCCCACTGGAAAAGGACACCCGATCACCCATGTCTCCCTCCAATCATGTGCTGACATCTCCACAGGGCCCGGGACTGCCAGCCAACACCAGCTCGCACCCTCCGTACATCACACAGGTTTGTGTAGACTAACAACACTACCTATCTATGTGTATGACCTATTAATCAGATTATGTCTTTAGTGAATATTTTGTGGCAGATAAGTGTTTTATCAAATTTGAGTATTTTTTATTTGTACAGTACAGTTCACAATTTTGGGGTTAGTAAGATTTTTTTTTTTTTTTTGAAAGACATTAATACTTTTTTTTTTTTTGGCATGGATGCATTAAATTGATAAAAAAAAAGTGATAGTAAGGCCTTTTACATTGTTAACATTGTTGTCAACACTGATAATAATAAATGTTTCTTGAGCAGCAAATCAGCATTTGCTGATTACAGTTATTTTAAGCTGTAATAATATATTGTTACAAAATATTACTTTTACAGTTTTCTTACTGTATTTTTGATCAAATAAATGCAGCCTTGGTCAGCAGAAGTGACTTTCTTACAAATATGTTACGAAAATCTTACTGACCACAAACTTTTGAATGGTGGAATGTTTTTGCATTGTGGCATTATGTGTTTTTAATTTTAGTAATTTTATTTAAACACTACAGTTCAAAGTTTTTGGATCAGTAAGATTTTTTCTTTTTCTTTTTGAAAGAAATTGGTACTTTTATTCAATAAGCATGCATTAAGTTGATCAAAAGTGAAAATCCTGAAATCCTGACAGTTTCCACAAAAATATTAAGCAGCACAGCTGTTTTCAACAATGATAATAATAAGATTTTTTCCCCTTTGTGCATCAAATCAGCATATAAGAATGATTTCTGAAGGAACGTGGCACTGAAGACTGAAGAAAAATTCAGCTTTGCATTACAATAATAAATAACATTAAAACAGTTATTTTAAATTGTAATAATATTTCACAATATTAATTTTATATTATATTAATTATAATTGTATATAATTGTATGAAATTAAAAATTAATATGCTGCATTTTTTTATAAAATAAATGCATAAAGGACTTCTTTCAAATCTTTTAAAAACATAAAAAAAGAAAACAAACCTTACTGACCCCAAACGTTTGAATGGTAGAATATTTTTGTATTGTGGTAAATAAATGTTTATTTATTTTAAGCTATTTTATTTGTGTAGTTCATGCATTTTCATTCAATTATACTATACACACAGTAAGGATCAAAAGTGAAAAATCTATATCAGCTAATCACAAGTAACAGCATAAAAACTTGTTAAAGGGAAAAAAAAATGTTTCCATGAATAAGTGCGAATACTTAAGCCATATTGCATATTTTTTTGGGGGAAAAATCTAAATAAATAAAACTACAACAATCATGTTTAGGATGGGACCAGAACACAATCTCCACAGCCCAATGCAGAGGTTAAAATTCCTTCCACATCACAGTCTCCTGTGAACACGGGTTATTCACGACAACCGTGAGTATTCAGGACATCGTTCGTTACTATAGGTCTAATTCAAGCAAGCATAGAAATATCATTTATTAGTTTTATGACTGATTAAAGGAGTAGTTAAGTAAACTAAATCATCTTGTGAAAGTCATAAGGTTTAGAACATGAAAGAATGTGACGGAATACGACAGAATGTTTATTTTTGTGTGAACTGTCCCTTTAAGAATGTAGAAAATACACTTCTAGGGTTAATCCAGCTACAGTTTTCACTCTTGACCATTTGTTATTCTTTTTCATTCCATCTTTCTCTTTGCATTCAGGTATAAAGCGGTTTACAACTATAAACCCCAGAATAGAGACGAGCTGGCATTGAGAGAAGGAGATATCGTTCAGGTCCTAGAGAAGTGTGATGACGGCTGGTTTGTAGGTAATGGCCCTTTAAGTTTGCTTCACTTTACAGCTCATTCTGGCCAAAAACTGCCCACTTATATAGTACAGGATAGGTCTGTTTGACTTTGTAAAGAGATCAACCACTGGAATGAATGATATATTGGTATATTGATTATATTGATATATTGATTATCACCTCATATTATAATTTCACATTTGGTAATTATATTTTAATTATAATGTTGCAATGGCTAAATTGACTTCAATCGTTTAAAACTATTGATGTTATTTTAGCGTAGTTGTACAGAATTGTAGGGGCAGGTTAGACTGAAATGGACATTAATAATATTTAAGGCCTACAGTATTATATAGAATATTATATAGAATACAAATACACACTAAACGACTGCTATGGAAATATTTGAACATAGCAATATGCTGATTTGCTGCTCAAGAAACATTTCTGATTATTATCGTTGTTGAAAACAGTACTGCTTAATTGTGGAAATATATTTTTTCTAGTGCAGTCAAACGATTAATCGCGATTAATCACATCCAAAATAAAAGTTTTTGTTTACATAATATATGTGTGTGCACTGTGTATATTTATGATGTATATATAAATACAAACAAATGCATGTATATATTTAAAAACCGTTATGTTTATATATTAAACATATTTATATATAATATAAAATATAATAATATAAATATATAAATGTATATGTAGGATATGTAAATATTTTATATATAAATATTTTCAAAATATATAATGAATGTGTGTGTATTTATATATACATAATAAATAAACAGTATACATACATATATTATGTAAACAAAAACTTTTATTTTGCGATTAATCGCGATTAATCGTTTGACAGCACTAATTTTTTCATGATTCTTTGATGAATAAGAAGTTCAAAAGAACAGCATTTATTTGAATTAAAATCCTTTTGTAACATTAGAAATGTTTTTACTGTCACTTTTGTCAATTTAATGCATCCTTAATTAATAAAAGTAATATTTGATAATATGATATATAATATAATATAACAAAACTGAAAGATGTATCTTTTATAGGTTTTAAGTGTGGTCTCAGTGCAAAGCCCTTCCCTGTGCTGCCCTCTCTCGGCCAATTCTCACATTATAATGTGCTAGCAAAGTGGTAGCTGCTTTGCGTCACAAGTTTTCTTGCTTAAATTACTTTATATTCTTCTTTTCCTGCCAGGTACGTCTGAGAGGACCCAAGCTTTTGGAACATTCCCTGGCAACTATGTGGCACCAGTTTGAGAGCTTCCACCAGTTCTTGTTCACTGACACTACAGGCTCAACCACTAATCAATGCAAAATACAGTCTGCCTGTACTGCCACTGTACACTACACACAAAACCACTGCCCTCCTCACGAACACAAATATAAAGCCATAAAAACTCCTTCACATCCTCCACCAAGCATGTGCACTCCTCACCTTACAGTATCTCTTGCAGACGTTGCACACAGTTGGGTTTGACCCACTCACGTGTGATGAAGCCACACTGAATTACGCTATTGACTTTATCTAAGATGACTTACTCAATTTTAACATCTTTGTAAAGCTTACCTCCATTTTGGTTTCAGATTTGTAGCAACATTGCCAACGCTACATATCCTGAGGATCTGGATGTAAGAGATGGTTAAAACCGTCCGTTTTTTTCTTTTTCTTTTTCTTTTTTCCAGACGCTCATCACAGTTGTCATTTATCTGTTGCGCTGGCTTAGCTGATCGCCACATCATATACTGTAATAATCACAGCCGCAGTCTTTGCAAGCATTATCAAGTATCTGTAAGCGCTTAATGCAGTTGTCGCCAAGTGTTTAATCTGTCTGTATTAGGTTCATGTTAATTGTGTAGCAAACCCAGCGTTCAACATTATGTTCAGCTTTAGGACGGGGAAAGTGTTGCTGTGCGGTTTCAAACTCTTTTGTATGAGTAAAAGTCTCCTGCTCAGTGAAAAAATCAGTTAAGGTTTGATATGTTGTGGTGGGTTAAACATGGTTTTTGACTTTATATCAATGATTTAAATCTATATCCAAAACCATATTGAACTGAAAATATTAATTAATGCAAGATCAGTCTTCAGGATCAGAAGAACATCATGATTTGCATGCATATTCATTCACAGTGGGGGAAAAAAAAAAAATCTTGAGCAGTATTTCGTCTTGTTTTCCTGTAAACATTATAAAACAAGAATAATACTTTGTTTAAGGAGCAAAATTGTACTAGGTAAAATTTCAGAGAATATATCTTAACCTAAGTTTATATATGTGACCCTGGACCACAAAACCAGTCATAAGGGTCAATTATTCAAAATTGAGATTTATACATCATCTGAAAGATGAATAAATAAGATTTCCATTGATGTATGGTTTGTTAGGATAGGACAATATTTGGCTGAGATACAACTATTTGAAAATCTGGAATCTGAGGGTGCAAAAAAATCTAAATATTGCGAAAATCGCCTTTAAAGTTGTCCAAATGAAGTTCTTAGCAATGCATATTACTAATCAAAAATTAAGTTTTGATATATTTACAGTAGGAAATTTACAAAATATCTTCATGGAACATGATCTTTACTTAATATCCTAATGATTTTTGGGATAAAGGAAAAATCAATCATTTTGACCCATACAATGTATTTTTGGCTATTGCTACAAATATACCCCAGCGACTTAAGACTGGTTTTGTGCTCCAGGGTCACATATGTTTTACGTATGTGATGTTTTTTTCTTGTTTTAAGCATTAATATTACTTTTTTATGCTTACAAAAAGAACTTAAAATATTACATATCAATCATGAGCTCTTAGGATTTTACAAGTTGAAACTGACACCTTAAAATGAAGTCAGCTTGTGTTTATTATGTCAAAGCACATGTGCACAGGTTTTAAGACAGGAGCCGGAGGACTTTTCACTGATGGTTTATGTTGGCTATAAAAAAGGTTGTGGAAGATGCCGGCGTTCATCGAATTCCATCATTAACTCGCTTCGTCTTCTGTTTTTAATTATCTGGGAACTGAAGTAGCTGACTGCATTTTGTTGTACAGATTGTCGAATCCTTATCACACAGTTATCAAATAATGGAAAAAAGATAATATATTTTTATTGACACACAGTATGTATTGCAGTATGTAAGGTACTCACAGATTTTGATAATGATCAAATAAATAATGAAAAACATTGGTTTGCTTGTTACTTTCACTATTTGAATCATTCTGATTTTCTTCATAGGCCAGTCTGAAGACTAAATGCCTTGCAGCACCTGCTTTATGCAGTAAATGCTTCTGTTGTTATTCCCACGCTGTCTTTCATTAGTCAACACACCTATTTGTATGCAACAAATGAAATAATTACTCTTGAGAACATGATGACAGGCCAATGTCATATAGCTCATAATGCCTTAATTTTCCAAAACACAGAAGCAGAACAACAACCTTTTATAACCTCAGTGCTGCTGCCCCAGACTGTTTGATCTTGTGTGTTTGGAGATTGTACTGATTGATTTAGACTGACACACATATATATATATATATATATATAAAAATAGGTTTAAGACAGTTTTTGGTAGATTTGTAATATTAATATTATTTTTCGTAGTGTTTTTAAAATGATTTTCAAATAATAATGTTATTTTAATTTATCAGTATTGTATAATTATTTGCTACATGTATTTGATCAAAATACAGTAAAACCAGTAATTTTCTGAAATGTTCTTACAATTTACAATTACTCCAGTCACGTGATCCTTCAGAAATCATTCTAATATGCTGATCTGGTACTCAAGAGCTGTTCTGCTTGATATTTTTGTAGAAATTGTGATATTTGTTTTTCTTTTCGATTCTTTGATGAATAGAAATTTCAAAGAACACACTTTATTTGAAATAGAAATCATTTTTAACATTATAAATGTCTTTACTTTTTTTAAATTTTCAAAAATGTCACTTTTGATCAATTTCCGAATAAAAGTAGCGATTTATTTTGTTTTAAGGCGATTTTAGAATCTTACATTTTACCTGCAGAATTAATAAGATTTTCTAATTATTTATCACCGCCAGCAGGTGGCGCACTGGCACAACACGTTAAAAATATTTGCTTTTAAAATCATATTTCTCTTTCATCCCACCCCCTCGACACGCCCCGCGTGCCACCCTCGCGTGCCACCCCCAGCCTTTATTTTGACAGCAACACGTGGCATGTGATGCTCCATCATCTACAGCGGAAACATTCTCGGGAAAAGTTCGAAAAAAACTGGGCGGTGTGGGAATTTGGTCACATGGAGCGTACAGCCTAAAAACTGACGCGCTGAAAGTGTCTCAATCAGGTCTGCGTTAGGAAGCGGACAGAGTTTGTGACTGAACGCGTGCGTGTTTTTGACGTCATCCGCACAGGTGCCAAACTCTGAGTTGTGATTACTCCTAACCGCGCGCCAACCATTTACCAGGTAAGTTTATTTTCCTTAATATGATAACTAAATATGTCCCGTTACTGGGTTGCGTTTGTTTAGAAGTGATATACTCATCCTGTGCGTTTGCGTACTTCAGGTGAGGCACGAGAAACATGGCATCAGTTCAGCATCCTTCAGTCTTTCACTGTCACTGCTGCTCTCTATCTCTTTTATTGCATCCGGATGCTTTACTGAAAAGCCTGACTATCCTACGCAGAAATTAGAGAAAAACTGAATGTTTCAGCTTGTTTAAGTGATGAAAAGGATCTAATATGTCGTTTGAATCAACACAACAGCTGTAACACTGCAGCTTAATTCAGAGGAGTAGTGAGTCTAGTTCTCCATCACTCAAAGCCCCCTTTTCAGTGTTCTTTCTTTCTTTCTTTTTCTTTCTTTCTTTCTTTCTTTTAAAGCACATTAGTAAATACATAGTGCACCAAAATGCTGTACATTAGGGAGATTAAACTAGACAAACTTAAGAAACAGTAAAACCAAAGGAAGTTCAGACATATTTGTTTTTACACTATCACAAAGGTCAAAGAGAACAAATGAGACTAGGCGTTTTTTTTTACTTATTATTTTGTATTTTTAGGGGATTTTTGTGGTAATACGTTATGTTTATGCAGTAGTTATACTAATCTACTTATTGCCTGTTAACTCCTTTTTGAGCATAGCTAAACCCGAAAATGAAATTTCCAACTTAAACTTTCCTAAATCTTGAATGATTTGGAGCACTTAACATTATTGCTGAAGTGAAAAAAAAAACGCAAAGTGAAATTTAAAAAGAAAAAAAAGTTTTATGAAAAATGCGTGAAAACTTTCACTAATTTTATGTGAAATATATTTTCCAATACATATTGTACTCTAAGATTACGAGAAAACCAAAGCCATACATCTTAACGAGTTGTGTTCCAAATTAGAGGTTAATACCGCAAAAACAACAAAAAAAGATTTCCTAAAGATTTTATTTGGGTGCAGTACAAAACGATTCCACTAGATGAAATTGATTTCCAATGCGCCCATTTTTGACTGTTTCTTTCGGGATAGTTTAACCTTTTTGAGTCATGTTCATGTGTTTGTGTGCGTGTGTGTTCACATAGCAAGTGCCAAAACCTTTACCAATTTCATACCATTCAGAATAAGGTAAAAAAAAATTCTTATTCTTATAGAAGGGCACCAAAGGGTTAAACGTGTTGATGGAGGTGGAGGTCCTAATAGAGAGTGGAAAACCTTGGGACACCCTTACACTTTAAACATGTGTTCAGAATATAACTAGATGTTATTAAAGCTTTAAAACATGCTACATTAGAATGAAATCCGAATGGGTAAGAGTCCAGATGATGACAGACCAGAATACAATGTAATGTACATTAAGAGATTCAGTAACTGGAAACACTTGATTTTGTGTGCTTATGATGTTAAAAAATGTTGTCTAGGTAGGGCAGCTCACTTGGTTTTAAGATGCATACTTCTGCTTGATAGTTGTCTTTAAATAGACTGTGATTCATAAGTGCATGCACACAGTTGTTTTTGATATTTTGAGGGTATGCAATGGATTTTCTTGTATGCTGGTTGGGGTTTTGCTCCGGGACAGACTGGAATGTTTTGGATTCAGTTATGCAGAATAATGTGAAAAGTTACAGATTAAAGCGTCAACACTGTCCAAACTCACATGGCCAGCCTCAGAAATGAATAAATGTCTGACTTAACAGATGTTGCATAAAAAATAACCAGTTTCTACCAGTTGCTCCTGTATTGTTGCTGTAGCACAGCTCTCTGTTGGTTTAGAGTGAGCAGAATGCAGTTTTGAGGCTGGGCACTGAATGTAATTGATGACTGAGCAGTACTTTTGAATTGATGGGGAAAAAGCCAGACGTGTTTCTGTACTCACGTGTCTGTGCATTGACCAAACCCATTGAGAGAGCTTTTGTACCTCTCTATTGTCTCCACCTGTGCAATTCTTCTCATCTCTCGATTTTAGCTTCTCCCACACTGTTACTCTGCTTTACCCAGCTTCCATCACTCCAAAACGCACACATTCTTCTCATTCATGTTTTGTTTTTGTTATGCTCTTTTGTTATATTTATTGGCACTGTAAACAATAGTGTGAATAAACAAGTATTAACAAATTAATAACAATAGCGGGGTTATCATAAACTAAAACTATTAAAAAAATATTTTAATTGAAATAAAGCTGAAATAATTAAATAGAAATGGAAAAAACTAAATGATGATGATGATAATTCAATAGAAAAAATGTAATTATGCTTAGAAATGTTGCCTTGGCAACTAACTGAAAAAGCACTAAAGTGATAAAGCACTAATTTTACTAACTGGAAATAAATAAAAAAAACTTTATCTGAAAATCAAACCTTCATAGTAATATTTAAAAAATTAAACAAAAATGACAAAAGCACATAACAGAAGTGAAAGAGTCTCAGGTTACGTATGTAACCATGGTTCCCCGAGTAGGGAATGAAACACTGCGTCCTCTAGGGGTCGCTATGGGGAACACCTTCAGTGTGACCGGTGTCTGAAGCATATATCTAAAAATGACAATAACATTGGCCGGCGACAGCCTATGACGTCACTACTGGTGCGACTATAGTATAAATAGGCGCCTGGAGAACACGTCATCAGCTTCTTCTTCTGAAGCTTGCATCCGAAGCATGGCAGGAAACCTAGAGGACTCAGTGTCTCGTTCCCTACTCAGGTTACGCATGTAACCATGGTTCCCTGAGTCGTTCCCTTTCAATCGTACTAGGTCTTGGCCTGTCACCCAGGGGGCTACCGCTTGCTCTGCATGAGCTTGCTGAAGGAACGGTCTCAACAGACCCCTAGTAGCAACACCTC